GATCGGTGGAGAAATGAGCTACGCAGACAAATATAACTGAATTTGGAATTATGCTACGGGGCGCATCCTAATAAAGGGAAGGGGCATATCTCTAACTTCTTGAAACGAACAGTAATTCCCTTGAGTAGGTACCTCATGGTACAATTGACAGATAGATGGTTTTACAACTTCAAATGAGTAGTTCAATTTATCCCATAAATTTATTCATCAACACGAATTAGCAAAACTATGGTATGAAAGACCTGAACTCATGAGTAACCAAAACCATCGAGTCTACCATGGTCTTGGTATTCTTAGTGTTCAATTGCCTCTCCGATAAAACTTCAAAACAAAAAATTGTGATTGCAATTTTCTTTGCCTACGACATAAAAACAGTTTTAAAGACCATTACAGTAAGTATAAGCACCTTTAGATGACTGGACACGAACTTCCAAACTTTCCTACACTGAACCATAGACCCATACACCACAACTCATTTGCACCTGTCCACTCCTGTTCCTGCTTCTAATAAGCTACTAACTAGCCCTTCATAATCCAGAAAATGTCCTACCATCCTATATTTCCATATCATCATTGACTTCCACTGTGCCCTCAATTCTCCCATTGTTCCCCAACCGACTGGACTCTACGTTATTCCTTTTTTTATTATTATATCAACTCACCCTTACATTTACCGCCCTTATACACTAATATTGTTAACAAATGCGACACGATTTACCATCTTCATCTTACAACAAAATGTAGTTATGATTTTTGAGATCGTTTTGTACTCTACTATAAAGGACAAACGTGATAGGTAAAGTAGGAAACGGTGATGCAAGGCAAAGTGTTAAAAGCGTTCGTGCTGTCGAAATTCTTCTTTGGTCCCCCTTCACCACGATGCATTTGTTTTTGCAAACAATATAATGTACAATTACTGACAAATGAAGAAGTGTAATGTTGTTCTTGGCTTGTGTTAGGAAATCGAAACGTAACGGTTTACTGAGTAAATTCCTTTTGTGCAAGGTTCATTTCAATGAATGGATTCTAAAATTGCCAAATTTCGTTACACCTTTCGGACGAGGTCAGTACATCGGGTTGTTCGGAAAGTCATTTCGTTTTTTTCTGTATTTTCCGTTTTTAATCTTATTCTTTTGCACCCAACTTCACATTTAAGCCGTATAATTTTTGTATGCTTTGAGAGCTCATATGGCAAGGCTTGTGTGTGAAAAATTCCAATTAATTCTACGCAGTAGGTTTTGGTTGGTGCCCTTTTAAAAAAGATGAACCGGCTCAAACCATTTCCAAAGCCGATATTCACCAAAAAAAGGTGATGCTGTCTGTTTGGTGGGATTTTAAAGGAATCGTTTTTTTTGAGCTTTTACCGGATAACACAACGATTAATTCGGAAGTCTACTGTCATCAGCTGGACAAACTGAATGATGCACTTCAACAGAAAAGGTCAGAACTAATCAACAGGAAAGGTGTAGTGTTTCACCAAGACAACGCGAGACCTCACACAAGTTTGGTCACTCGCCAAAAGCTTTTACAGCTTGAATGGGATACAATGCTACACCCACCATATTCTCCAGACCTGGCACCATCGGATTATTATTTGTTCCGGTCACTCCAAAATTTTTTAGACGGTAAAACCTTCACCTCAAATGAGGAGGTCAAAAACCTCCTCGATCAGTTTTTTGCCAGCAAAGACCAAAAATTTTATGAGCGTGGAATTATGCTACTACCAGAAAGATGGCAAAAGGTGTTGGACCAGAACGGTCAATATATAATTTAATAAAGTATTTGTTTATTTTACGAAAACTGTCTTTCATTTTCGACAAAAAAACGAAATGACTTTCCGAACAACCCTATAAAATGAAAATTGTTTAGTAACCACCTAATACGTAAAACGACAATCAGGATGCGAGGAAACCTGATTAAAAAGAAAGAAATTACTGATTGGAGTATAGAAAGAAGATCCTCATAAAACTGGCCATCATTGTTACGGTAATTTAAATACAATTGCAAAAGAAATGTTGGAGAACATAACTTTCACACAAAAATTGAAAATGTCTCCAGATAGTTATTGGAAATCTATTGTCGTGGAAGTGAAAGCACTTACAATCGATCTCAATTCGTTACAACGTAGGTTCGATTTAATTGAGAATAGTGTTCTAACTCATTGTCAAACAAATGTGACACTTCCATTTCATATTCGACACGTCCAACTGTTCAGATTAGATTAAGAGAATAACATTAAGTTCAAACAATTGAAAAGCTAACGTTTTAAATATCTATAAGTATAATCTAATTCACAGGTTACAGGTTAAAACTCTTCAGACCTATTTACTTACAAATGTGTAATAATTTTATATTTTGGAAACCCTAAATATAAAAAACCCTATACGATTTTGATTTCAGTCGTTAAACAACGAGGGTAAAATTGATACTATATCTAATTTTATAGCAGTTATATTGCAAGTAGTCTTGTACTATTAGACATACTTAATATATAAATTACGTACATGGAAATGTTCTTAAAATCTATTGCAGACAGATGTACTAGCTTGCCCTACGTAGCCAGCATCAGCAGTTGCATATTCATCATTTTTTTATGATTACACTTACTCTTTGTTACATTAGTGATTCAAAGAATTAATTAGCATTACGTTATGCATCTTCAGAAACAATTTATTTTACATTAGGCAGTCTACGATTAACTTTATGGCTTTACTATTAGTTCTAATCTCTTTTTCTTCTGAATTTGTCGAGTCAAGGAATGTTATCACTATTTTACCTGCACTCACCTTCGCCCACGAAGACTATTGTAGAACGTAAACTGCAATGCTTTGATTCTTCAACAATAAATAAGTATACCGTACATAAGCCTGCTAGATGTGTAGCGATAAAACGCCTACCATCTATTGTTATTTATGCGTGGGAGGAGATCAGTGGGCTTGGCGCTTTCCCCAGTGCACCCGATTAATTAGCCATATACTACACGTTCATGTACACTAACAACGAACAGGACACTAACAGGTAGAAATGTACACCTCTCTATTATACGAGGAACTTTTGCCTTACATCACCTGTCTTCCAGTAGAACAAGATTGGTTGTGTAATTATTGAAACCAGGCGGACATTTTAATGTTAATCCCGGATAGAAAGCAACATCCCACAGGTACAGAAATGGATGTCTTAATGATATTTTAAATTTACCGATACATTATATGTAGTTTTGACCTGATTTTTGTTGATTACGCACGATGAAGCTTGCACAGTCAAAAATGCGAATCTGATATAGTAAACTCCGGTTGTAACGACTCATATATTACGACGAAACTAACATATCAACGACTATTATTCCTTATAATGACGAATTTTCGATGCAAAGCGATGTATGTAGCAAAGTCGAATGGAATAACAGAGTTATTTAGTGAAAATTTGAAGAAATACTATAATGGCCCACGGATATAACAATCTGTTAGACAAATGTAATTTACTTGTAATAAATATCGTTTAACAAATGAAAATTTACTTCTTTTTACGATACCTACAACATCGAATCTGTTAATAATCCCAATAAGAGTAATAATGTCTATATAATAATAAGACATAATTTACTCAAGAAAAAAAGAAGAAACCAGAACTAGGAATTACCGAAAATAGTTACATCATTTTACGTCTAGACAAGGTCGTTTAGACAGTAAATACAACAACAATCCAATAGTTACGTACTACAAAGAATCAATGTCATTAAAAATAGAAGTTTATAACAAAAATAGCTTCGTAAGCTCTCTGTTGAAACAATGCGACAAAGTTTTTATTTTATATATATACCTATAAGATGTATATTTTTAGAATAGGTACTAATTTTACAATTAAACATCTGAACTAATCAGTTTTCTTTTGTGCTTTCAATTCCTTTGTGTTTTCTTTCAAACAATAGATATATTAATATTAATTTCCTAAGCATTGTGATTTAACAGAAAAGTTATTTAAATATAATAACTTAGTGTAGATAAGATATGCTTCATTGTTTAAATATGGATAAAGTAAAATACCTTTACGGTAGCCTAAAAAACGTTTTGTAGGAACACTTCAATAGCAATTGACTTCAGTTTTCAATTTTATTTTGTGAATACGATAACATGTTGAATAAACAGAAGTCATATTCATAATTAATTAGTTTTATCATTAGTTAATCGATATCTCATATCTAGCAAGCATTTTTAGAATAAATTTACTGTTTTTTATTTTGTTACAATTACTTAACGTTCCGACTTCCATAATATGTAGTAAAACGCAACGTAATTAATTGTATGTGTAACTACCATTTCGATGATTTCTCCTTGCTTAATAATTTCCACCAACAACTGGCATATTTGTATTTCAGTATGTAGTCTATAGCCAATTAGAATAAATTAACCGACGACAATTGACGATATTATTCTATAATCTTCTTTTCAATCTAATAGTTAATATTAGAAGCAAAAAAGTATTGAAGCAAACACTAGAGAAAAAGAGAAAATCTACACGAATTGCATTCAATAATAAAACAGTATCCATCTTTATTTATTGGATTTAATTTTTTAACCGGCATCTAAATGTTACAAAATAAAATGCTTCAATACTTTCTTACATAAATATAACTTTTTGTTTCGTTTTGCAAAATTGGTTGATGACGAAGGTCAAAACTAATAACCGTATCTTTTAGGCAAGGTAAAATTGCATTAGAATACTGATTGCGAGATTGTTATCTTCACTATAAACTAAAATTAATGTCAAAACCATTTGATAAATTATTTACTTTAAACTACTAGATTGTCTATTTATAAGATTAAAATTTAATCAATATTTTAATGTGAAATATTTATGTTTCTATTCGCGATAGTAAATTAATGTTTTATATAAATAAATCGCTCGTTGATGATCTAACTTTAGAGATATGTAATTACCTCATGATCCATGATTGTAATTTGAGCGTTTAAAAAAGAATATATGCTGAAAGATGAACTTACCCTGACTGATTTCTTGCCTTTATCCCTAAGACTAGATCTGCCATCAATAAGAATGTTATCGTTGACGAAAAATACGTCACAAGGACTAGGTGGTCCTGCTAGAAGGAGCCAATCGTCTTCGTCATCGACCACTGACTCATCCAGAGATACTCCAGGGAGGATTATAATTCCACCCTCACCGACCTGCAACACGACGAGAACGAAATGTTAGAGGGGACAAACCTTCAGAATCTTTTATTGCATATATACATACATACGCATGTATTAAAAGGGATTGTCAAGATACATGAATTTCTAAAAAAAATTGTCTTGATTTTGTAAGCACCTAATTATTTCAAGGAGGTTATTGTCACCGACAGGGACGTACTCAGCTTATTTTTCAAGGGCCAAGGGAAGCATCGCCACCAGCCGGACCCTCCTTTAGCTATGTCCCTGTGGATCTAGATAGCGATTTAAAGCTTATTAGTTCCCATCATCACGCGATACGCACATATATTTTATTCCAAAGTATTCTCTGATCTTTCAAACGTTATCTTATTTCAACTAAGATTAAGGAAACTTCTAATCCTGTATGAAGGTGATTAACCCATCAGATTTACATATTAATGTAAACCTTCTTAAATGCAGATCATTATTTATCCGCCATTATTATGCTGCTATTTAAAGGTATATGTATTTACGTGTAATAATCATAACGAGGTCAATAAATATTGCGTTGCGTAGATAATACCTCTACCTTTATTAATACAGAAATAACTGCAAGTAAAACGTCTTGCACTTCGGAAAATTATTGGCTATCGACTAAAAAGACGCGGAACTTCAATGTCGAACAACAAGGACGAAATCACAAAGGCGGCTGAATAAGAAAATGCGAACAAAAGCGACCTGGTAATAAGAGATAGTTGTTATTTTTGTTGTTTTGAAAACAACAGACATGCGATATTTCCGTTATTTAATAACACGTTTACAAACACAACCAAATATCTACTAAACAGTTTTTGTTTGTTGTCACTGCAGGTTGTTGTAGTAGATACATAAATAATGATAAACAGTAGGTAGTTGAAGGTACAGACAACAGAACCAATCTCGATTGATTATTAATTTACTTTATTGATGTAATTAGTGTTGCTGCTACATTCAACATGAACACAGAATTCAAGTGTCGATTTCCAAGGCTGCCAAAGGTCGTTATCTAATAGATATAGTAATCATTTTACACTTAGACAAACAAAAACGAATGTTCATTGTAAATGTCTTTGAATAAAGGTGTATCGAGTTAATTATTTATACCTTAAGTATATGTATATGGACTTAAAAATAGGACTTAACGAAAAATAGATTGTAACAACAAATTACAATATTTAATAGGGTATTCGTTGGTCATACTACAATGTTCAGTTGATAAAAATCTATTTTATAGAGATATTAAAACACTTTTTAATTCCTCTTTGGATTAAATGTGACACCAAGTGTGTAGAAATTATTTNAAAGGAAAGAGTGGAGGTGTGTGTCCAATAAGTCTTTACGACAGGTGATCTTATGATGATGAAGATGAAAGAAGTCACTTCTATGCTCGCGATCAATTAATTTAGAAATTCGAAAAAGATTGTTAAAGGTGCATGTTTGGAGAGCGGCGCTGCACGGGTGCGAATCATGGACGACGTGCGCGGCGGAAAAGAAAAGTTTAGAAGCGTTCGAAATGAGGTGTTACAGGCGATTGATGAGGATACCGTGGAAAGAGAATGTTACAAATGAAGAGGTGTTAGAAAGAATAAGAGAACAGAGTTGGAAGTCAATAAAAAATAGGCGAGACAGGTTGGTAGGACACCTTCTCGGGCATGAAGGTCTAGTCAGAGACATATTAGAAGCAAAAATGGGAGTTACGAGAAGTAGAAGTAGACCTAGATTAGATTACTGTTCGCAAATAGTTAAGAATGTGGGATGTTCTAGTTTTAGGGAAATGCGAAGATTAACTCAGGATAAGAAGGAGTTGAGGTGCGAGACCAACAAATTTTAGGACTGACGACCTTATGATGCTGATAAACACAAAAAGATAATATCGTTAGCTTGAGGTTCTATGTAGAAAAATTTCATACGTTCTACAGTTCTTATGGATATGTTTATTATTATTGTAAACTATTTATCAAACTGTGTTGATTTGTTTCTATTTTCAATATTTGCATAAGCGACTTTCGTTAATGAATATTTTATGGATAATTTCTAAAAGTTTATCTTAGAGAGGTCATCATTTGTTTGGTATGCGGACCACTGTTGATAAACACAGCGAAATTCTACATCTGAATGTTGACATTTAGTAATAATAAATTTAATGAAGTTTCTGTATGTATTATTACATCGAGATCTTAATAATGTAACCTACATAACTTACTTGCAAGCATGCATGGTAATCACTTTAGGTTTTTGTTTGGTTCGATTATTGTCTGAGATATCTCGCAAGTTTGCACAATAACAAAAAAATTAATGGAATGATCTCAACGGAGATAAGTACGGTCCCGTCCTGTTGCACAATTCAACACACTTATTGCTACTTATAAGTAGATATATATAAAATTGATTTCATTAAATTATCTATGATTAGAGTATTATTGTACATTCCTTTACCGAAAGCAATTAAAAGGGTGCCTACAGGAGTAGTAAGAACAACGTCGTTTGGATACCCTCATAAAATGGACAGTCAATAAAAATAAATTTACGACAATTTTTAACAAATTCCCAAACACGTACAAATTATACGTTTTTCCAAATGATCTTTCAACATTTCTTCTCGGATGTTCAAATTAATGTTCAATCATAAAACAAGAACAGAAAACAACATATGGTGGGTGAATGACGCTTCTGAAAGAATGTAGCCTCAGCTTCCAGCTGCAGTTGTAGAATTTTTATGGGATACAAAACTTTTTTCACTCGTTGTTTATTACTTTCGTTTGTGGCACGTCTTTTATAACAAACTGCCTTATTATATCTAATAGCATATAATCCCTTTCAAATTATCGTGGATCTCACCATAAACAGTTACTTATCATTTATTGAGATTAGTTTTATAAACTGCGTTTTTATAATTTTATAATTGTTAACTTTCCCTCGTTTAATTAGGTAACAATTACACTTCGTTAGTTAGAAACTTGACAGTGACGCCGGAAAAAAATGTAGCAATAAAAATAGTACAATCACTTGTTTATTGCTATATTTTAAAATCTAATCCAACAAAAAACCGTATTGAATTAATTTATTTGTGAGCGATTCTGTCGCAAGTCAACGTAGTAGATAAATTTGTATTATTCTGTCTGTGAGCAATAAAAAGTGCACAATTCGCTGACTCGTCATTACAGATTGAAAATCAACACGACAATTGTAATTTCTACTAGGAAACAAAACGTTTAAAATTGGTGAAAATCAGTTGACGAACGTAGACTTTCGACTTTGTAAAACAATTGACTGTATGGAATTTGGATCCTGCTCGAGGATATAGGAATTTTAATCTTGATACTTCTTGCTAATATGGAATCGTAACCTTTTAAATGCTAAATCAATTTTTTATTTTTACCTAAGAATTGCTTCATTGATTATTTCACACTAACTTCCCTAGAGATTTTCAGTAGATACAAAAATTGAAATGACTTGTAAAACCCGCTAATATTTTATTCAAAATTGCCGGACGCCCTTCAAACAAATGCACCTGAAAGCACCGATACGAAGTAAAATTTCTGAGGAATGATTTTCCCAGATATAAATATTTTAGAGCTTTGTAGATTTTAAGAAGTTTTCTACTTTCTTCTGACAAAATTCATGCCAGGGAGCATGTGCTCGTGATGTCATGACATAATCAAAATGGCGAATAGCCGCCATCATCTTACTTGTTCATAAAATAACCTTAAAATTAACCACCACTTGACAATTTCTGAAAATATATTTACAAAAGCGTAACATTTTGACACTGGTTTTGATTTTAAAAATTTTACAGCTCGTGTACATTTGGCTTTTAACGGGAATTCGCTGCTCGTGGGCATATTATATATAAAACAACACAAGTATGTTTATATGTATGCATTGCTTGCCCTCGATAATTTACTTGTCCAGTTGGTGGAACGTTACCAACACAGCCATACCATAATACCGCTACAAACATGTACATGTTGGGGCCAGATAATAATGGTAACCGTACGGTACCTGCAGGCTACACAGGAGGTGTCGTCAACATCGTATACCATACTATATGACCACTGGACCAAAAACATTATAAATCTACGCTGTCTTTGACATTATACTATTTAATATACTGTACGACTACAGATTCCAAAATGCTCATAACTGCAACCAGAGATATTTTCATTGGCTGCGAATGATATGAGCAAATACCTTGGAAACTGTTGAACTGATTTAACCTCTTCGAAGATGTAAGTTCTTAATTAGGAAATAGAAGATTCAAGAAGGGTGATTTGTTGATGATTTATGCTCCTACAAATAAACCTATAAACATTTTACTGCTATAACTGTTTGAAGAATATAGTATGCATCATATCTATAAACAAAGGAGATGGATTGATGAGGATTATTTTTGACCCATTATGAATTGAAATAATCTAGTTCTTTTCCGTGAATATTATGGAAAAGATTAACTTAGGATAGGAAAGAGTGGAGGTGTGTGTCCAATAAGTCTTTACGACAGGTGATCTTATGATGATGAAGATNTATGTTGGTAATTAACATTTCTTCATAAACGCTTGTGTAAACAGGTTGGTAAGTTACTAATTATATTTTCTAAATAAAACACTATACCAAGAATAAATAATAAAGATCGGATTCAGTTTGAAATAGGTACTAGTTGATTTTATTGTCGTTAAGTTTTCTTCAGACGATACAAGTTCAGGTGAAATTATAAATCGCAAATCGAAATCATATTACGAATCTCGGGAGATACCCTGATTTGTACCATACGTTAGGTCAATCTAATCAAGACCCTACAATTGGTTCCACGTAGAATAACCTACTCAAGATCACACAAGGTCAAAATTAAAAAAAAAACTTTCGGGTGTTTTATTCCAATCAGCCAGCAATACTGGTGGGCGGGCAATCCCTCCGGACTACTCCGGAAGGTAGAGCGGAAGACCATCTTCAGCCTCCACTCAGGAATTGTGGGAATGGGTGGATGGTGCTTCGGGTCA